CCAAACAGAATTGAATACAAAATTTTACTCAATCCTCCCTGTAACTTTCCTGCTAAGCATAATTTATGTGTAAAGGCAAAATTATCAGTTTAAACAGTTAACCTGATCACCTCCTTTTTCACTGAGAAATCCATATGAATGTTCTTTGGACAAATCAAAGTTAAATTCAATTAACAGATTGAATGCTACATTAAAATACAGTAGCAGTGTTGGAACAAGTGTCTGAAACCCTGCACAAGTCAGACGATTTCATGTGATAGACTTCCCACCACTGAAAACCGGAGCCCTTCTATCACTAAAGAATATGCTGGACCCTCAGGTGTCAGACTAACCCCAGAATGGGATTCAGACTTCCATGGAGTGGCATCCTGCATTTCTTCTCTTTCTCTCCAGTTACACACTACCTGAAAAAGCAAGGGAAAGTTACAAACCAACTCGTATGTGCATACAAACCAACCAGCAGAACCTACAGCAGTCCTTAGTACTTAAGTTGTTCTAACCAGGCATTCCTGATAGAGGCCATTTATAATCACACTTAAAGCCACTATAATGTCTGAATATTATCCTATTTAATTTGACTACTCTTAATTTCCTGTCTATTTTTAAAACAGTTACACGGGCATGATCTTTGCTGACTGACACAAAACATTGGACATTAAATATTCAGATGCCCAGAATAAAGTGACACGGGAAGGATGCCCATGTAGGGGATTTGTTCAGAAAGGCTAGTCTCACTCACTCTCTTCAGAGCAGTTGAACATTTTGCCAATCATCACAACAATTTCCTAACAGTATTCAGAAGTTTGGGAGAAAAGAAGCTCTTGTAAGTTTTCTACAGTGTCACTGCATCTTCTCAGTATGAGAAACCAGCAATATAACCAGCTTATCAAGTTAGAGGCAGCTAAGCTGCAACAGGCAATGTCACACTGACTTACCAAGGTGATAATTCAGATGGGACCATCCAGTGGGCTTCCTAAAAAGGAGAGTGTTACACCTGAGTAACAGGTCCACATTTCTTCCGTATTTTAGTAATTTATTAAGACTTTGGTATGTTTATACTCAATGTGAAGCAGGCAGCCTGTAGTCCAGTTACATTTGCTGCATTTTGAACTATGTTTGCATAGTGTCCCACTAAGTAAGCCTGTTACAGGTCTCATTGTCACCACTGCAATTGGCTTTGCAGTGAGGAAAGCACAACCTGTTGCTCCTCTAGCCACGTTTTTCGTTTCAGACACACAGTGGGTTGTGCCTATTCGCTGAATAACGGGGCGTCACAGCTCTGCACGATGTCTGCAGAGCAGCTTGTTTGGGAAGCCTTGCCTGTGAACTTTAACAGAAACATGCCACTAGCCACCATCTGGTATCTGTATTTGTTTCAAAATAAAATATTGCCTCTTTGATATTGAGGGTTTATGATCCTCATCCAACTGCCTCCACCTAGGAAAAAAAGCCGGCTATTTCCTCAGTACTTACCCATAAGTAGAGACTTTCCACAGTGTTCCAGACATCACAGGAATGTCCCTTTAAGAAGAAATATTTTGGATCAGGGCCATCAGTTTAACTGTACTTCTATCCCATAACAGTTTTTCAATGTTGTCTTTGACAAGCTTCCCAATAAGAACCTTTCAGTCTACTTGTTTCAACAGAAATACCAAGTTTAACCAGCACATCTGCAGGAAAACCAACGATGCCAGCTGCTGAGATACTGTCGCACTGCTTTTTGAACACCTCACCAGGAAGACACTGCTGGGTGCAGATACCATACAGTGCACAAATTAGCCCGATGACCTTCTGTAGGAAATGTCTGAAGAAATCCACGACTCTCACGTTGAAGTTCAGCAGAAACAAAGTGTACCTCCTCACTGATGTGTTCCACCGAAGTCTGCTGAAGAACCAGATTTGTAGATCAGAAGGCCAAACAGCCCTAAGAATTCAAGCAGTCCAAAAACGCTGCAGCTGCTCACTGCTGCAGAGCTGTCTGGAAGAAAATTGGTATAACTGAACTACACCTCTGCAGATGAGGAGCATGAAACTCATGCTCTAGATTCATCAGTATTTAAATGAATTTGTTTGAATACATACAAATATTGTCCCTTCATATAAGTAACACAACCAATACGTTCATCAGCTGTGGGTTGCAAAAGAAGGTTTTTTTCTAAGCACTAGGTTCCAGGCTTTTGTCTACAGCAACAGACAAAAACTGAACACGTGCTGGAACAGGTTGACTGTATCCACATTCATCTTATTTTGCACTACTTTTGAAGCAACATTTGAACAGTACACAGAAATCAAAACATTTCTCAGTTATCTGTATAGTCACAATCAATTACTGTCGCTGTCCACTACTGGTTTGCATTTTTAGGGAGACACCTAGCTTGGACTAAGGTAACCGTGGCAAGAAGTTCAGCATCAGATACACTCACATACAAACAATTTACAGTGTCTAACTCATTGTCTGTGCCCTCACTGCAGCCGTGGCCAAAGAAGATGCCTTGATCCTATTCTTAGGTGTGTTCTTGTGAAGTTTCATTACTTGTCAGCTTTCGCTCAGGGCTTCCCATGTTGAAGACTTTCCTACCCAGTGATCTGATGCAGCGCTTTCTTTCACGTCCCTTCCTAGACCCTCCTGCAGCCACATGAACTCGGTGAGACCTGCAGAAGTTTCACAGCCCTAGCACTGCAGCCAATGTGGGACCATCAGCACATTCCTGGTGCCCCTGCTCCCGCCCGGGGCAGGCCGAGGCGGAGGCTGGGCGCAGGGAAGCGGCCCAGAGCTGCAGCTCAGCGCCGCGGGCGGCACCGCCAGGAGCAGCCACAGCAGCTCTCCAGCAGGCAGTGCCCAGAGGGAGCGTCCAAACCCAGCCTCAGATTAAGATGCCCTGCAGCATTCAACATCAGATAAAAGCAAGTACGTCTGTAACTTCTAACAAAAGGTGCTTTCCATATACCAGTATTCAAGAGCTCCAATTTTCACTCAAGCAGAAGCTACAGGCTCCAATTTTGGTCAGATTAGTAAGAGATGTTGCACTGAACTCAGCACCTTGGAAGTTTCACACAGAAAAGTTGTACAGCCGTGATACATTGTCCTGTATTCACTTGAACTATGGAATGTTATTTCAAACTGTTTTGTGAGGTAAAGCAAAAAGGCTACCTGAAGAAAACAACTGAAAATCACTTCACAGCTTAGCTCGCACATCAAGAAGAGTGCACAGGATTTCCTCTTCTAGAAGCAACTACAAGAGAGAAAAAAAAGCACAATGGAATAAGAACTATCAGATACGGCCAAATAAGTGAAGATTTCTAAAGCCAAAAGCTAGGCTTCAGCCATCAATTTAGCAGTTGTAATATGCTTGCTTTTCCTGTGTATTTATCCAGCTCCATTCAGAATTGAAAATTTAGTTAATTTCTGAATCACTCAGCACTTGAACAGTAACATTCATCACATGAACTGCAGAATAAGCAGGACCCCACACAGCACCTCACTATGCCTCGCAGCAAGAACCCCACTCCTAGATCCAGGATGAGGCTTTCAAGCCATAGAGTACTTCTCAGGTAGATGCCTAAAATAGTCACATTTAGCCATTAATTTGGGACCAATATTAAATGCCATCTTCAACTGCTGAAGAGTAATTTTTGCAGTCTTACTCCCTAGAGCTACCAAGTTGCAATTGGAAACCCCCAAACTTCTTTACAAAGATCTGGGACCTTAACCCAAGCATGTAAGGAATGAAACTTGACCTGCTCGCATCCTAAGCACCTACTGCAAGTCTCCTCAGACTGTCAACTACATTTTGAAGGAAATTAAACCAGTAGATAGTAAATCTTACTGTCAACATCCCTGTTCAGCACAAACTTTCACCTGCTGAAAAGCTGCTACTGACAGCGATTTAAGAGTATTAGGTGGCTCAGCCTTTTGTTTTTTAAATCCTGTTGTTTCACAAGTAAGCTTAAAATTTTATTTCTACTGCCACCAAGACAGCCTTGTCACCTTAGAGTTAGCCACACCAAGGCCATTTCTAAATACTCACTACTCCTTTTTCTAGTGAAACAGCTGTCTAAAACATCTTTGAGAAGGGTATTTGCAACTGGGGCAATGCCTGTCAAGTGCTGTCATTATAAAGAGCTTTCTTCTGCTGCTTAGTCATATCCACATCAGACCCTGTTTCATGTAGAAGAGGGCAAGAGGGGAAAACCAATCTTTCATCCAAGATTCACCACGCTGCTGCAGTTATTCTTAAGATGACAACTTCAAATTATTGTATTAGATTCAGGAGCATAAAATTAGCTTTCTGAAAAGTTATTCCACACAGAATAGACAACCTCAATCATAAAAATTCAAATTATCATTATTTGAATTCTTTAACTGTATTTTGCAATAGTCTAAGTTCACCAACCACTTTTGCATTTCTACTGTTGGCACTGGAACAGTGTATTTCAAAGCATAACCTGCATTTCCTTAAGACACAAAAATAACCTCTCAAGTACCACTCACAAGAAATCAGGTATGAAAGAAAGGCACCCAAATTGCCCTCTGTAACTCAAGGATATATATGTATATGTCTGCAAATGCAGACACCTTTTTATAGTGAATATATAGTGAAACACAGCTGCTATGTTACAGTCTTTGGAACTTGTTTTCCTGTTTTTAATTACATAAATTCTATGATCCACTGATTAACAGATGTCCAGGTGCAGAAGCTTGCATTTCAGCAGCTGTCAGTCACTGAATCAAGGTGATTACACACTTGATACAGGACAGCAGAGAAGACACTTGAAAGCTTAGCAAAAAGGCACACTGTTTAGGAACCGTCATGGACACAAAATTGATGTACTTGCCTTAAACCAAACCTCCCTGGGGTGCTTGGTTTGATAGGTAAACATTGCCTTCAGAACAATGTCTTAACCAAGTAGGCTGTGAAACAAGCACCAGAAGAGTGACCGCCACTCACATTTATTAGTTTCCTGTTCACTGAGGTCAGCCTTGCAGAAGGCCAGAGTTCTCAGCAGCAGCCTTCTTCATCCTCTATTTCTATCACTTCAGTTGATTTTGCACGTTTTGTTTCTGACTTTGATTTTTTCTTACTGGGAATTTTGCTGCTTATAATGAAAGAGCTGTTCTCCTAAGAAAATGAAATACAGAACGTATTCACAAATCTAGTTTTGAGACGCTTAAAAGGCAAGATCTTGGTGGTAACTTTGCAAACTTCAGAACTCTTCAGGGAACTCTGAACTCCCATACATTCCAGCATTATTTCAAAAAGGAGAGTGTGGACTCTCAAATTCCTTCTGTGTTACAGACAGGATTCACAGGTAAAACACAGTTAACTCTGGATCCAAGCTCAAGAATTAAGTAACCAAAATATTATTTACTAATTCTTTAGCTCAGAAGAGAAAGAAGGTTAGAGAGTTTCTGAACCTCAGGAATATTTACTCACCACTACTCTAGCATCAAGGTCTTCTTGATTATCAGAATTCAAGTTGTCGTCATCATCATCATCATCACTGAAATATAAAAATTTAAATCAAGCTCTGTACACCTTTATAGTATTCTAGAACACTTCAATCCCACTACCATCCACAGGTTTCTCTCAAGATAGAAAGAACTCCCCAGAAAGACGAAGCCAGTCTAGTGCTACAGTTTCAGAAGTGGCAGAGGGAGGACTGGTTCCAAAACCTCGGAAGTCTTCTAGAACTCATTTCTTATAAAGATCCAAGTGTGTGGAAAAGCTGACTTGCATTTATTCTACATAATTTTGTTTCTTCTGTAAGGTAGCAAACTCATTGTTACTCATTCTAGAAGTTCACCCTGTACTTCAAATCACAGAAATCCAGCAGCATGATTACTGAAGTGACCAGCAGCTGGAAGACAGCTTTGCATCTTTACACTGTCCTTCAGGCTTTCTGCTTTTCATGTGCTGAGGGTATTTAAAACACTAAGTATTCTTGCTGATTTACTGACCCCTTGGCTGCATGGAAATTTGACTGTAAAGACAGACCTGAAGTGTTACTTTATAAGTCATTCAAGTAATATGAAAATAAAAATATATCCTCCAGTCTTTGCCATGAAACACTCTTTACTTGGGATAATTATAAAGGAACCAATTTCAGGAAATACCTTTTTTAAAAGAAAAGTTCTATCACATTTTAATGAGACTGTACAACTCACATGAAACAGTGATTTGTGTTCAGATTAACAATCTCATTCTATGTGAAATTCCAAGTCATTTCCAACCACAGAATCCCAAGTGTCCGAGCATTCTGTTCCCAGAATGAGCAATACTTTCACAAGCAGAAATTCACATTTAGATTACACAATGCTGACATGGGTTAAAAGGACAGGATAGGCACTGAGCTTCATATAGCTTCAACTCTGCCACAGAAATCAATGGTACTACAAGCATCTACCTCCTGAATTCCCCAGCTGCAAGAGTAGCAGACAGCACTGCTCTGGCAGGGATGGCATTAGCTTTCTTCACAGCAGCTGTGTGGTGGTGCTGGTTTGGATTTGTGACTAAAGCAGCGTGGATGCTCTCTCCACAGCAGTATATACACAAATTTGGACTTTAACAAAAAAGTTCCGTACCACCTAAAAATACAGACAGACTTACTTCACTTCCTGAATTGGGGAAACGGGGCCTTCATCATCCAAGTATTTATGTTTCCGTACTGCCAGGCATTCTCTTTCTAAGTCTTCACTAGCCTGAAGGGCTTTTAAAGCTTTTTTAAGATGTTCTTCATATTTAAGCATTTCAATATACTGGAAATACCCCTTGGCAGCTGCTTGCTAAAGAATAAAAAAACTGTGTGAGATTTTACTACCACTATGAAGCATTTATATTACAAAATTAATTGCAGTATTATATTGGCATCCATATTTTAGCTGTGTTTGCCTTAAAGGTGTTAAACAACATCAAGTGTCTTGTTTAACAGAGTAAAAACAGTTTCACCATTTTATTGTAGCACACCAGGTAGAAGCACAACATATCTGCTAATTTAAATTCACTATTTTTAAACTAAACAAATATTTTTATGCCACAAAACAGAGGGCTCACCTCATAGCCAAGAACCATGGTTAAGGGAATATGTTTATTCCCATAATGTTCTTCAACGAATGGGAATTGAAAACCTCTGTCTAGAAGCCTTCTCTTTTGCTCTTGAGGTGAGGCTGTCAGGGGTGGCCTCCCTACAGGCTTCTGTGTGCTCTCATCCTTTGCCACCTTCTTTTCCTTCTTCTTCCTCTTCCCTGAGCCACTCCTGAATTTTCGATGTGCTGCAGCCTTAAACTTCTTTCCCCTGAAGTGATAGGCAAAAATGGCTTTCAAATTTAATTTCGACTTCTGCTTCTTGGAAGTTTCTGATGATTTCACTGGACTTTGAGGGGACAGAGAAGAACCTGAAGAGCTTTCATTGCCACGCACTCCTGCATCAGATCCCACTCGTTGCCTCAAAGACTGAGATCTTTTTTGCTTTGAAGGTGCAGTGGAGCACTTGGGATGGTACTCACTGCTACCAGCGGCAGAGAGGTCACTGAAGAAGAAAAAAATACCTACTTTCAAAAGAATGTATGCTTTTATTATCTATGACACAGGTTCTTCACATCAAGAATTCAAAACTATGGATACAAACTCACCCTTCTGAATCACTGCTGTCCAGTAACACCTCAGCTGAAGCAGCAGATGAGTTACACATACTGTTCAGCTCATCTCCAGACTCCCAAGGTGCAGCATTCTTCTGCCTTGGACATGAACGCCCCATTTGTGTACTGGCTTCACATGCCCATGCTTTATAGGGTTCCTCCTGTCGGCTGCATATTAGCTCTTGGGCATTAGGGTAATCAGAGCTGGAAGCCTGGGATTCATCTGTATCAGTCATGTTTCAGTTTGAACTAAAAATCAATGAGGAATCAAGAAATTAAAGATAATTCTATGTCATTCAGTTAACAAGTCTTTCATCTCTCCCATCTCCTAAGGTAAACTTATATGTATTAACTGTTAAGTTGCAACCACTTCTCTCAAGATATTCATAGCACGATTTAGGTCAGGAGGGATTTTTGCAGCTCATCTGGTCCAGCTCCTGCTCAAAACAAGGCTAAGGCTAACTCCACAGCAGCATCACATTGTTCAGAAACCAGTAGAGATTAGTTCTGAATGTTTCAACCCTCTCCCTACTAGGAGTCTAACTATTCTCTCAAATAAGCTCATCTGTAGCCAACAGCTTCTTATACTTGTAACAATATTGTAGTTTGAAGTCCTACACAAACTCTCACTTCACCGTGGTTTACAGCCTTTTTAAACTGAGAGCACAGCTCATTCAGAAGCAATGCCAACTTCGCTCTGCTCCCCAAGCTACATGGCACCTAAAGCCCCCTGCTCCAACAAGCCTAGTTATCAATCGACATGGAGACCAGCCCCACAAACAGAATGTTAATGTTCACTCCAATCTGCAAGACAACCCACCACATCCCTTCAGCTGCCCAAGACAGGGACAGAAGCACACAGCAGAGGAACCTGTCCCTCCAAACAGCCTCGAGTTATTTTACCTGCTTGTTGGTTATTTACTAGCCCTATAAATACGTATCTCTGTAATTTTACTGTGCTTCTTAGTTTCATAAACCCATGATCATACCCATTATTTCAAGCGCAGCTACATAGAATTTTGCATTTTAAGACACTACAGAAGTCATCTAAAGTCCTTGCATAACCTGTTACTTTTTTTCTGGGCTTATTTTAGAGTACAGATTACTGCACAGATTTAGAAGGAAGGCTTCCCAAAACCACTGGAAGACAAAGGTATGCAACAGCAAATTGAGAAGTCTGAAAGTACAGTCCAAGTATATGGAATAGCTGTAACAATTAACAGGCCAGAACAAATGGCTGTAGAACATGAACACCCCCAACTGCTCACACTAAGTTCCATTTCCTCTCTAACCCACACAGCTACAGTGACCTCAATGTTATTCTCGAAACAAAGGGGATAAAAATACCAGAGACCTGCTGCAGCCACACATCAGTGTGTGATTTTTACAGCCTAGATTTAAGATGACTTTTTGCACCCTCTAACTGCTCAAGGAAGAACCTACCTCGCCGCATTTTTCAAAATGAAAAGTGCTTAATTCCAAAGCTGCATTAAATGCAGGCTTAGAAGCAGACTAGACCTTACACTGATCCTGAAAACAGCAGCACAGGGACCCAATCCACACTTCGCTGTGAGGAAAGCTGATTTTTGACAGCACCCTGCGCTTATGCTGTGTCGGAAGCACGGGCAGGCCGCTAGCATCGGCTGCCCGAGGCCTGACGAGCCCAGCGCCCAGCAGCAGAGCAGGGACACTCAGCGGGGCCCGCTGGCGACACGGGCCGCGGCCGGTACTTACAGCTAAAGGCCCAACATCACCCCCCGCCTCCACTCATAACTTCGGGCACGCCACACGGGTCCCTTAGGGGAAAAAAACAACCAACGTGTAACCGACTGGCTGTTCCACAACTCCACCGACATC